TGTGGTGACCATGACGGGGAAGGAAGGCTGGGGCTGCGCGACATGCCGTGCACCGGTGCTTCAGCGGAGCGCGCTTGTCCCTCGTATTTCTAGAGGCTTCATGTCTTCAGTCATGCTGCAGGCGGGGTTGCTTTCTGGCATAGCGGCTCTTCCTGGCTAGCAGTGGTGCCTTCTCATTACGTCCTGGAGTCGCCCTCCTCTGCACATGGGGGAGAGGGACCTGACATCTCTTCCTGTGCGGACACTGCCCTAGTGGATTACAGTCTGTTATGGCTTGGGTTTATTAGATGTCCCCCCAAAGCCTCATGTGGTCATAGGTGACTCAGAACAAGGTGGTTGGATCTAGAGTGTGTGACACTGAAATTGATTCATGGTGCAGTGCTAGGATCAAAGGCACCAGGATTAAGGGTGTGAGTGCCACCTGCCCTAAGTAGCCTAAATAAGATAAAAGGGGCAGAAAGACGTAAAGGCCCCTTGTGGCTTTTGCTATCTTCTGCCTGCCACAAACTATTCTCTGCAAAGCCACCCTACTTTGGAGGCAACCGATGATGGACTGAAACCTCTACAAACTGAGAGGTAAATAAACCTTTCCTCCTTTAGCTGTATGTCAGGGATTTGGTCTCAGCAATGAGAAAAAAATAACTAAGAATTTGGTACTGGGAGTGGGGATGTAGAGCTGTCCTTTCTAAGGAGAAAGATAAATTGTTGCATCTGGCTCCCCCTACAACCAAAAAAGAGGCACAACGTCTAGTGGGCCTATTTGGATTTTGGAGGCAACACATTCCTCACATAGATGTCTTACTCCAGCCCGATTACCAAGTGACTCAGAAAGCTCCTAGTTTTGAGTGGAGCCCAGAGCAAGAAAAGGCTCTCCAACAGGTCCAGGTTGCTGTTCAGGCTGCTCTACCCCTGGAACCATATGATCCAGCAGATCCAGTGTCAGTAGCTAGAGAGGCTGTTTGGAGTCTCTGGCTGTACCATGGGATCAGCTGTCAGAGGAAGAGAAGGCCAGGGCCTGGTTTATGGATGGCTCTGCATGCTATGCAGGCACCACCCACAAGTGGACAGGTGCAGCATTACAGCCCTTTTTAGGACATCCCTGAAGGACAGTGGTGAAGGGAAATCATCATAATGGGCAGAACTTCAGGCACTACATGTGCTAGTACATTTTGCCTGGAAGAGAGATGACCAGATGTGCAACTATATACTGATTCATGGGCTGTACCCAATGATCTGGCTAGATTGTCGGGAACTTGGAAGAAACGTAACTGGAAAATTGGTGACAAAGGTATTTAGAGAAGAAGTATGTGGATAGACCTCTCCATATGGGCAAAGGATGTTTGTTTCCTATGTAAACACTCACCAAAAAGTGACCTCAGCAGATGACTTTAACAATCAAATGGATAAGATGACCTATTCTGTAAATAGTGGTCAACCTCCTTCTTCAGCTACCCCTATCATTGCCCAATGGGTTCATGAACAGAGTGGCCATGGTGGCAGGGATGGAGGAGGTTCTGCATGAGCTCAGCAATACAGACTCCCACTCACCAAAGCTGATCTAGTTACTGCCGCTGCTGAGTGACCAGTATGCCAGCAGCAGAAAGCAACACGTAGCCCTTGATACGGCACCATTCCCCAGGGTGATCAACCTGCGAGCTGGTGGCAGGTTGATTATATTGGACCGCTTCCATCATGGAAGAGACTGTGCTTTGTCCTCATTGGCATAGACATGTACTTTGGATGTGGATTTGCCTTCCATAGACATAATGCTTCTGCCAAAACTATCATCCATGGACTCACAGAATGCCTTTTGCATAAAGGGATATGCATGAGTCTTTAGGGGCCCAGGGGCAGAATGTTATGGCTTGTGTCTAGATGTCCCACCAAAGCCTCTTGCAGTCACAGGTGACTTGGAGTGAGGTGGCTGGATCTAGAGTGTGTGATGCTAAAACTGATTCATAGTGCGATGCTAGGATCAAGGGCACTAGGATTAAGCGTGTGAGTGCCACCCACCCTAAGTAGTCTGAATAAGATAAGAGGGGCAGAAAGATACTATTAAGGTCCCTTGTTGCCTGTGCTACCTTCAACCCACCATGTGCCACCCTGCCTTGGAGCCAGCTGATCATGGGCTGAAACATTTACAAACAGTGTGCCAAATGAACCTTTCCTCCTTTAACTTTGGGTGTCAGGTATTTTGTCTCAGCAATGAGAGAGAAGTAACACAGAGTTCATCCCTATTTGATTATAATTATCTCCCTAAAGACACTCTCTCCAAATCTAGTCCCACTGGAGATTAAGGCTTCAGGGTCTGAGTCCTGGAAGAGTAGCTCAGGCCAGACCTTAATATCCTTAATATCCAAGAAGCTTTAGATCTCAAGGCTGTGGGAAGTGCTAACCATACTGGCCCCAGCAACTGTGACAACGGGGCAAGGCTGGGTCCCAGTGTCTCCAGGCCCTTTGTACCCTCAGGGAGGTGGATAGGTCACCAGTGGGCTTCTCAAAACCCCTGGCCAGGAGCATCCCCCCTCCCCATGCTGACCACGCTGAGACCCAGGACCCTCTTCTCTGTAGACACCCAAGCACCCAGCAGGTACTGAGCAGCCAGCAGGTACTGAGATCTGAGGGACATCCCAGGTGGAGAATGAAGGTCCTCCTGGACGTGGGGCCAGAGGCGGACTCTGCAGAGAAGTCTGCTGAGACGTGGCCCTGGTTCGATTTCCTGCCAGCATCCCGACTGCTGTGTTCAAGTTGGAGGTTTCCTGTCCATGCCAGAGTCCCGTTGTAGCTCTTACAGTCACCGCAGAGATGAGAAGCCCCAGCCCCCGCCCTCCCCGCCTGCGATCCTTTCGGGCCTTCTTCCCAATTACAGAGGTGCAGTACTAGAACCTTACTTGCACAGAAGGCTCCCAAAATGTTTTCAGCCCTACAAAACCTGGACCCACCTTTATTCTGTGTCCTAAACTGTGCTGATATTTTTAAAAGCAAAGAGCAGCCCATTCCTCTGTGGGTGCGTGGCCCCAAATTCCAGCAAGCATCCCATGGGGTGACTGAGGACAGAAGTCACCCCACAGTTTCTAGCCAGAGACCAGAGCAGAGGGCTCACGGCCGGGGCTCCACTCTGGCTTTATTAAGAGGAAAATTTAATAACTGCGGTTAGGGCTCGAGTCCCTGTGTTAAGTTCTCTGCTTTATCCCTGGGTGATTTGGCAATGACTATTAAAATCAACCCGAGCAGAATAAGATAGCGTGATTTTAATGTGTACCCCCCAAAAATGAGAGTTAGCAGATTGGAACTTGGAAATCTGGACATAGCCTACACCATTATTCTTCCGCACTGCGCTGGCTCCTTCCCGATTTATGAAATTCATCAACAAACCTTTAAGGTATTGCAAATAGGTTTTCTTAAACAGTATCCGGGTCACCGGGGGCTTTCGTCTCACTCCTTGTGTGTGTTTCCTGGACGCTGCCGCCCCAGCGGGGTGGGCTCTGCGCCGCGGTGTGGGTGCTGGGCGGCTCTCAGCTGCAGCCGAGTGTTTGCCCTGGAAATCGCTGAATGAGAAGCGCCAGGGTCGCGCTGGGGTCACTCACACGTACCAGGAAGTGAAGCAAAACTAATCCAGATTTACCCCTGGAAGAATCTGTTTGCCTAAGTATTTAAAAACAGATTAGGGCTCACCCGACACTAGATCCCCGGCGCAGTGTAAACACGGATAAAAGGTGTAAACAAGGCCTGGCCTCTGTACTTCGGAAGCAGAAATGTCATGGGTAATGAGTTTCCTTTCTAGACTGTGGCAGAAGGCCTAAGTGGCCCTTGGAGTGGCTGGTAGCTGTGTACCCTGATTGTCCCCCTGGAGGGGATTCTGGGTTTTCAGAGAGGCCACTTGTGAATCAGTGTCTTCTATAATTACAGCCTCTCCGCACATGTTGGGCTTTTCTTCATCACCCTCATCAGAAAGGTCGCATCCAAGCCTTACAGAACACACCCCAGGCTACTTGTAAAATTTCAAGAGCTACTTGTACAATCTCACATTGTTCTTTCTCCATTTGTAGCCCCTCCCCCGCTCCCCCCAGCAGCGCTGCGGGGCGGGAACCTGGGGCGCGCACACGCTGGGGCCGGCCTATGGGGCCCCCTCTGCCGGCGCACAAGCCGAGTCACCGGCCGCCCGTGGCACCGGATAACAGTTTTTTCTGAACTAAAACCTCAGTATTCAGGTTTAATTGCAGTGTTGGCACTTGTGATAAATAAGTGGGCTTGGGGTACAGTGTGGGCGCTCGGTCTCTGAAAGGTTCCCCATCCCTGTCCTAGAAGATTGCTAAGTTTTTAGTCTCTTTTTGAAGGCTTTCATTTTTCTTTTTGAGAAACCAAACCCACTTTCCTCAGCTTCTGTCCCTATCCGTCCTCCGCTCTTTTTCCTCTGCCCTCCTTCCGGGTCCTCTGCAGACCCCGGGAGGAGCGTTATCTCCGGGGGGGCCCCCACCCGCCCTGTCCCCTGCCCCTGGGGCCACTAGGCCCTGTATCCCTTCCCCTCGGAAAAGCCGGCTGTTCTTTGTCACTTGAGGAATTCTTGGCCTTCTGCCATCTTTCCCAAGCGTCCGAAGAGATTAGAGAAGTGTCCACAGTTGCCGAGCTTAGCTGCGCCATGCCCGTGGGGCCCTCCTGCAAGGTTCCCTTCAACCCAGGGAAACCGCACACCCCACCCCACCCCGAGGGGCAGAGGAGTGGGAAGCCAGGGGCACACAGCCGCCCGCAGGAGGGGAGGCTACCCACTGCCCTGCCCTGGACTCTCGCCCCGGGTCCTTCTGCCCTAACTCACCACAGGGGAGAGTGCCACTTTGGGCCCCTGGATGCTGACCCCAGAGGGGGCTGGCTCATGCCACGTGGGCACCCGTCCCTGTCGCCGCACCTCCTTCTCGATGCCTTCTGACCAGTGGGCCGGTAGAGGGCTGCAGCCTGCCTTCCCATGCCCAGTGGTGAGCACACCTGTCTGGGGACTCTTGCAGGGAAGAGAAGGAGCGGTGGATCCGGGCGAAGTACGAGCAGAAGCTTTTCCTGGCCCCACTGCCCTGCACAGACCTGTCCCTGGGGCAGCACCTGCTGCGTGCCACGGCTGACGAGGACCTGAGGACGGTCATCCTGCTGCTGGCGCACGGTTCCCGGGACGAGGTGAACGAGACCTGCGGGGAGGGCGACGGCCGCACAGCGCTGCACCTGGCCTGCCGCAAGGGCAATGTGGTCCTGGCCCAGCTGCTCATCTGGGTAGGTGGCCACGCCCAGGCATGCTGGGGGTGGGGCAGTGGGCGGGGCGGCCTGTGGGTGTGGCTTGTGGGCGGGGGGCAACAGCCGAGTCCTGAGGTTGGCTGGGCCGTGGCCCGGAAGGGTGTGGTCGCAGGAATGGGCCACAGAGAGCTGAACCTGCGGTGGCCCTGTCCACGTTACCCTCTAAAAACGGGGAACAGAGCCAGGGATATAGCTCAATGGCATAAGCGCCTGCCTGGCCAGCGTAAGGGCCTGAGTTCGATTCCCGGTACCAAATAAAAACGGGGAACAATTTCCAGTAGAGAGTCCAGATTCAAGTGGTGCAGGTTTCTGCATGCTTTTGATCTCCTTTTGCAGTGGACACCCTGGGAAAACTAGATTAGGTGCAGATACTGAAAATCACTCAAACGTCTAGCCTCACTTTCACGCGGTAGTAATAAAGATGGCTGAATACTAATTCAGTAACAACTCTGTCTGGGTGGCTTGGGCCACACTAACATAACAGCAGAGGCTGAGGGCTAACCCGACAGACATTTGCTCTCCCGTGTTGCTGGAGGCTCTGTGTAGCCAGGGTGGGCAGGGACGTTATCTCCAAGGTCTCCCCCGCGGCCAGCAGTGGCCCTGCTTCTGGTGGCTGCCCCCGCGTGGTGTCTCCTCCGGGGGTGTGTATTCCTGCGATTGCTTCGGTGTCCTGTAAGACATCAGTCCTGTTGGAGTGGGAGAGAGACACCACATTCGAAGGTCCTGGGGGTGAGGACTTGGGCATACAATCTGAGGGACTCATTTCCACCCATAAGAAATTGCAGGCAAGTGTCCTGTTCAGGATAGCCAAGAGTCCCATGATGGTAGCACTCCACACGCACACGAGTACGCAAAGACCCACACACTCTGAGTGGCAGAGGTGGGAGTGAATCCACTCTTTTTCATAAGCAAGAAGCTTAAAAATGTTCCGTGTTGCTGGGCATGGTGGCGCACCTCCATAATCCCAGCGCTCAGGAGGCTGAGGTGGGAGGATCGCTGTGAGTTCAAGGCCAGCCTGCACCACACAGTGAGATCCTCTCTCAAAAAAAAAAAAGTCTGTGTTATCAGCTCATATTTCCCCCTCACTCTGAAATCCTGCAAAAGATTAAAATGAGGCTTCTCATCACAGCCCTGTTTCTTACCAGAAACAGTTTTTGAGCAAAATGTGCAACAATTAAACACAGAATAGCTGGATCTCATTCATCTGGTGGGACACTAGGTGGCTATTACGAGCCGTGCCTTTGAGGAGTTTTTAATGATGTAAGGAAATGATAACAGTCAGTTCAGCAGTAGAAAAATTTATGGTCTTCTCTTTCATACATGTATACATTTAGTTTGAAAGAAAACCAGTAGACAGAAATATTCTAAACTTCTCACAAAGGTTATCTCTGGTGATAATATGGGTGATTTCTTCCTCTCTTACCGTCTTCTACGTTACTTACATATTTTCTATAATGGAAATCTCTGATTTTTTTAGAGGGTGGTTATTTTTTCTTTAACAATTGGGAAGTCAAAATAGAAGTAGCAGAAACTGAACTTACTCCTGCTCTGTTTCTGTAGCTCAACCCCAGGGCTCTGGGTGACAAGGGCACCTTCAAGGCCCAGTGGTCACCAGCCCTTGATAGTCGCTGCCCCCCACCCAGCTCCTCTGCCCCTCCCCACCGGTGACACCCAGTGACCTCCCTGGGGACCCTGACCCGCCCTTGTCACCCCTGCAGTACGGGGTGGACGTCATGGCCCGAGACGCACACGGGAACACGGCGCTGGCCTACGCCCGGCAGGCGTCCAGCCAGGAGTGCATCGACGTGCTGCTGCAGTACGGCTGCCCCGACGAGCGCTTCGTGCTCATGGCCACCCCCAACCTGTCCCGGAAAAACAACAACCGGAACAACAGCGGCGGGAGGGTGCCCAGCATCATCTGACAGCGCGCTCGCCGGGACACGCAGCCCTCGGAAGTCACAGCGCGTGAGTCCTGTCGCGTCCCTTCCCTCTTTCCGGTGGTCACCTCCTGCCCGCCTGCCCACTCACCCCGCGTGAACTGTCCAAACCCGGACTCCCTGCGGGGTGAAGAGGAGGCCAGGAGGCTGCGGAGCCGATTCCTTTTCACAAACTCCGCCGACAGCTCACAGGACAGACCGTCGGGCTTGGTTGTTGATAGCACATGGCCCAGGACCCCGTCCTGCTGGCCTGGAGGCAGAGCGGGCAGGAGGGCCGGGGACGCGTGGGGAGGGGCTCGGGCGAGGCGCACGGAGAAGGGGCGATGCTCCCTAACTGGCAGTTAAGCACATCAGTCCGTTTCACCTCTACCACACGGAGCACTTGGATCTCATCTCTTCTCCGAGGAGCTTGACGGCATAAATCAGAAGCAAGCACAGAGTTTGTCAGGTTTGAAGCCCCTATGATGGTATGTGTCAAATCAGTTGTAGCTAATCTGTCCAGGGAGAATACTGGCTTCATTACACTTGTATAGTTGAGTTCTTCCAGCATTACCGCTGTTTAATAGAACATGATTAGTCATCACCGAGAAGAAAGCATATTAGCCGAGGAGGTAGTTACGCGGCACGCTCCGGTGATTGCCACGATGTGATTGCAATACTCTTAGAAGCATCATATTATCCCAGACATGTTCTTTCAAGCCCTTGGAGCCCTCCTTTCTAAATTCACTGTCATAATTTAGTATCTGTTTAATTTTTCAGTCCAAAGAGAGGAAATCAGTTGCCGAGTATTATTTGAGTGCAGTCTCCTTGGTGCAAAAACAAAATGGAAAAAATAAATAAGTATAACTTGGAAATTCAGAAAGAAATTGCACATTCAGCTGGTAACAGCTGCTCCCGTGCATTTGGTAAAGGAAGTAAACACATAGGCTATTTTTTCTGAATGTGAGAAAGATGTTCCGTCCTTTGGTCAAGGTGGGTGTGCTGGGCCTCAGTCACTCCAGGGCCACGCGACCTGTGTTACCAGGCTTCTCCAAGTCTATTTGAATAAAAGAAGTTCATAAATATGCATTGATTTTTGTACAGACAAATGGCACTTCTGTTAATTCATAAATTGAACTGGATGTGAACTAATAATGTGCAACTAGTTGAGATAAGAGGGTTACAGATCATTGTACATGGAAAATATTCCCAGCAGTAAACACTTCCATTAATGTGATATACAGCTTTTAAAAAGGAACATATCAGAATAAGATGGTGGTACAATTTTCTTATTAAAATGGAGAAAGAAAAAAGAATGACATTGAAGCATTTTGGGAAGGGGGAATGGAGCATGTGAATTTTCATTCTCGAAGGCATGATTTAGATTTCTGCTAACCAAGAGTGAGGGGCGCGGGCAGGATGGGGCAGTTCTGTGAAAACTTGGTCCAGGTGCTCCTCAAGGGTGCCTGAGAAGCAGGTGCGGAAGGTGAGGCACAGCCTGGCTCGGGTGCGTGCGACACCTGGCCCGCCATTGTCAGGGTCACCGTGGCCAAGTGGGCAGACAGAGAAAAGCAAATCACAAAGGGAAGTGGCGGCTTCACTAGAAGCTCTTCGCACTAGAGCCCACAGGTGCAGCGTGACAAGGGGAGCAGGGTCGTCACGGTGGAAGCCGAGGACCTGGGCCGGCGTAGCGCAGGGACACAAAGCCACGTTTGCCCAGCGGCCTCCCGAGAAGTTCCTTGCTCCCATTTATTGAAACGTATATTTTGTAAGAGTTTTTCCTCTTCTTTCTCTTTTTAAAAAAAAATTTAAAGTAGATGGGGAAAGAGTAAAAGCTTTACACAGAATTTATATGTGGGTAAGTGTTCGATGGAGATTTCTAATCGTAAGTGAACTCAGCGGGACTGACCAGTGTGCAGAAGCCCCAGACCGCGGACCTCGGCCAGCTTTCACAGCCCTGCCGTTCGGGTTTTAATTCTGCTTTCTGTCACTGTGTAGTTATTTTAAATGTGAATAGAAAGGGGAAAAGAAAGTCGCTGCCTATTTTTGAAGACTACATGAGCATCTAATCCCACTATACACATTCACCTCCACATAGCCTTGACTGTAGACTTTCTGTAGAGAACACAGCTAGGTATAAATGAAACTCTTAAATTATTTCATTGTAGTTAATTCCCACTATAGGAATGCTTTATCATAATGGAGCCTTCTTTTGAAAAGAAATGGAATTCCTTGTGAGGCTTCGCTTTGGGGTGTATATGAGTGTGTACATATTATTAGATGTGTTTATAATATAATATTTTCCCAAATGACTTCTTATCCCACTTAGCCTCCCACAGCCTGAAAGCTAGATCGGTGTTTCCCCTCCCTTCCTCCACCACAGGCACGTCACTGACTCCACCCGGGCCGGGCCATTCGTAGTAAACTCATGTTGATTTGCACCAAGAGCCCGCCCCCGCTGGAGCCACGGTTTTGGCCCGAGATGAAAGGCGGTGGTGGAGGCTCCGGTGAAGCGAGGCAGCCGTGGTCCCCCGTCTTATCCAGCATCACACCCCCTTCGCTCCTGCTCTGTTTTCAAGCTTTCTAACACCAACGCTGAGCAAAGGGAGAGCCTAGGGCCGGCGATAGACAGATGCACACAGTGTGGGCTGGAGGTCTGTTCTCATGGCTCGTTTCCATGTCCAGCTCCTTGTGACGGTGACACGGGAAGCCGCCACTGGAGAATCCACAGACCTTTTTCTGTTCAGAGTAGAAACCCTCCCATGATGAGAAACAGCTGACTGGGAGGGCACACAGCATGTGTGTGCAGGGATAGTCGGGCAGTGCCCGGACGTGTCCGCCTCCCCCTGTCAAGGCCGCACTCCATTCCAGGTACCGGTCACTAAACGGAAAGTGAGAGGCACAGAGGTGGCTGGCTTCTCCAGTGGCCAGGGAAGCACTGCGGGAGGAAGGGTGCTATGGTGCAGACTCTCAAATGGCGTGGGCAATTATAACCAGCCCAGCAAGCTTGTGGTTCCAGGGACCAGCAGCCCTGGGGTGAGGCAGTGACAGGTTCCTAAATCTTTGGCCCCAAAAACATGTGCAGTGCTGCATCTCTCAGCAAGGTTACACGTGTATATAGCCCAGAAAGGCAGAACAGGGCAGCAGAAGCACTCTGGGAGTTGGGGAGACTGGACCCAGGGCCTGCATGTGGTGGCCACGCCCTCTACCATGGTGTTCAGCCCTAGCTCAAGTTGCTCTTCCCTCTGGTCCTCTGAAACAGACTCCTCAGCACATGCTCAGGGCCTCTAGTGAGTGTTTGCCCAGGCCGGTGAGGTGAGTTTGGATCCATCCTCCGCCGTGCAGCGTAGACACCAGTGTTCCCAGTCTTGCAATGTCTGTACATTAGGGTCATTGCCTGTGTCTGCATGCAGCTGACACTGGTTCCTTAGGGAGTAACATGGTCAGGCAAGGAAGAGAGACCCGAGTCCCGCCCCCCGCCCCGGCTCCATGTCCCACCTGAGGGTATGTCCGCAGCGTCCTTGCCTCTGAAGCCTGCAGTGAGCTCCAAACCAGAGAGACACATGGCAGCCTCATGCCTGGCTGGGAGCCGGATGCTTGGGAACCAGGATGTGTTTTAAGAAGAGAGCGCGCACCCAGGGACCTGCCCCCAGCTGACACCACGTCCCCACCGCCTGGGGAGGCGGTGACAGCCCACGAGCCACGTTCTTGGTTAAGCCTGGGTGCTGGCAGCAGTCAGAGGATGGTGGGAGCCCCTTTGGAGGCCGCCCACTTCCTGCCCTCTCAGGCCTCGCTTCTCAGAACGTCCCTGCCTTGCCAGAGGCAAAAAAGGGAGTGAGCGCTGCTCTCGTGCCATTTGCTAGTGGTGCCTGGGGACCTGGGTGGCCCTTCCCTCCCTGGCCTGAGGTCACTAGGAGGCTGCTTGACACTGAGATCACCGCCCTCTTTCTCCTCCCTGCGGAGTACCGGGCTGGTGGAGCGTGGCCTTTGGCTCACCAGGTCGACCGCCATCCCTGTCATTCAGGTTGCTCTGAGAATGAGGGGGACCCCACTCCCCCGTCTGGAGAAGTCCAAGCCCACCGTAGCTTCTCCTGAGAAGGGGGTTTGGGGCTCAAGAACTCAGGACGCAAAGGTGTTGGGAAAGCAAACCACTGCCTCCAGATGGGCGTTCTTCCCACCCCAACCCCGTCTGCTGCTTCCATCCCTTACACAAGGGCACAGAGACTTTTCTAGAACTCTCCTGGGTTGTGTTTATGGCCCTCAAGCAAACAAATTGAAAAGCAGTCAGGAAGGAATTCGAGCACAAATGTTCCAGAGACGCACATCTTTTCCTTGAGAGGAAAAGACTCTGTCTCCCGCTGCCTCCGAAGAGCCTGGTGTCTGGTGGTGAAGAGGCCCATCCTGAAGTGGTTTTCACATCTCCACCAGCAAGCTCAGTCAGGGCCTTGGGCAGGCGTCCGCCATGCCTCCTCCCCTGGCGTGGGTCTCTTGCAGGCTCCTGAGTGCCCCGCCGTGGCCAGCATGCCCAGCTGTGGTACTGGGCGTGGTGACCCTCGTGGCCTTGCCAACCCTCCAGTCCGCCTGCTGCTCTGCTTAGTGCCCTGTCCGGATGAATCCTTGTCACCAAGCATCGAAATGAGGCTGCTTTTTGAGCCCAAATCTCAAATTCCTTGCAGTTAAACAGAAGAGAAAAAGGGAGGGGCCCAGTGCATCGGTCCTTGGATTCCGTTTCCATCACTATCCAGGAAGGAAGCACTGGACCTGAGATGCAGTGATGCCCCTGACTATAATGAAGCCAGTGCCAGGCAGTCTGGGCCCCATCTCTCACCTCACGGGGAAGACGTAACATTTAACAGCTTAGACGTTAGTGTTGGGAAGCACAGACGCTCTTCCCTCTAGTGCAGAAGTACTGTCCGAAAACTAGGTCGTCAACCCTTAGCGGGTTCCCCGTTTCATTTGTGCGTCCACTGCCTTTTTAACATGGCTTTGCATTCTCTGTCACAGTTACAACTAGAGTCATCTGTGGAGGGTTCTGGCAAGGGATCCTAGACAACCAACAAGTCTCTTCTTCTGGAGTTTTTACAAGCCCAGGTTTTAGGAGCATTTAAGGGCCCACCCACCCAAAGCAACGATGGAAAAGGTAATCCTCCTCCTTTCAAAGCAGCGGCAGCTGCTGGGCTGGTTTGCTCCTGCCTGTGAAAATTCTCTTGTGTGAGGCTCTGGTCCCACACGGCAGGCTGCAGCCTACAGGTGGGCACCCCGTGCTCCTGCGCCTGAGGCGAGATGCCCCCGAGTGAATGAGAGAGAGCGAGAGAGAGCGAGAGAGAGAGAGAGAGAGAGAGAGAGAGAGAGAGGCGAGGTCGGCTCAGGGCTTGTTTTTGTTTTGGCCTAGAGTGCTGCGTGTGCAGGGGACCCCTTCTCCCGGGGGTCGCAAATCAAGCCATATGATAGACTCATCTGCCAAAGTCTGGCCTGGAGTTCCAAGCTAGAGGACCTCCATGGCCTTACTCTTGATGCAGGTGAAAGAAAGGAACCACGAGGTGCAGGAGCGTTAGGGAATCTTCCCCCACAGAGCAAAGCCCGATAACACGCCAGCGGCAGGGAACAGCCCCCTCCAGATCACGATAGATCCCGGGTCTCCCTCCCCTAGTGTCCACACCAGCTCAGGAAGCTCATGCTGTGGCTGGCCCTAGAATGACTCTGGAAGGACCACCTTGCACCAGCCAGCCCATCCTGCGACATGTAAAGGGCCACAGGAGCTTATGAAAGGGCATCCTGGCCCACGGCGCTCCACTGGGCCAGCAAAAATGCCTGTCTGCCTGCTCTGTTGGGCCAGGGGGACAGAGAAGGGACCAAGGGTGCTGGGAGCTAGGGCCAGTCCAGGAGGTCGCTCTCGCTCACTTCCTGCTCACGGGAGCTCGCTACAAGGGCCCCTGCCCCTGGGTCCCAGCAGATTTGCCCCCAGAATGGAGTTGGGTGGCGGTCCCAGTGGTAGAGGGCGTGTTCAGAAACTGCTTCCTGTGGTGGAGAGGAGGGAGACACCCTCTGACCTCCCGGCCGAGCTCTGTGTGCAGAGCCCCTGAGCTGAGCCCCGTGCGGGAGCAGGCCAGGGCTGACAGCCCCCTTTCTGGGTGGGAGCAGGGAGTCCAGGACCCATCTTTGAGCACGTTGCCCTGTTTCTGTAAATAGCCATGTACAGAAGAGCAGCCGGGGGTTTATCCAGAGACCAGGTGGTTTATTTTGGTGGTTGTTTTTTTGGTTGGTTTTTTTTTTTTTTTTTTGGTTTTTTATATTACCTCATTCAGCAAGTTTATGTTTCACAATGACTCGATGATGCTTTATTTATATTGTTTGTACTGTAATTAAAACCATTGACAGACATTTCACTTTGCTTGTTATTTCATATGATCTTGTTTTGATTAAATATGCCAGTTTGTATTTTCCTACCTTGGGATTTCTGTGTCAGCTGTACAGTATTCTAAGGGGAAAAGGAAAAAAAAAGAAGAAAAAGAAAACCGTGTAAAGCAATGGAGAGAGGTGGCTATAGTGTAGAGACCTCTTTCTAATAAAGAAACGAAAATATGTCTATGCTGCTTCTGGCGTTGTTTTGTTTTTTGTGGCGCTGCTCCTTTGTCTCCCGGTCGGGGCCTTGTTCACTTTATTCACAGGGACAGGAGTTCCAGGCCAGCGCCCCCAAGCAGGGCCTGAAACACATCCAGCACTTGAGACCGCAGCGTCCCCAGCCCCAGGCTCCCAGGTGCTTCGACCCCAGGAAAGCTGCGTTCAGAAGTTCCAGGTGCTCCCGTGTGTCTTAGGCCCGTCCCAGCTGCTCCAGGTGAATGACAGGGACACGGCAGGCTGCTAGGAAAGGAAGCCATCCCAGGAGTCCATTAAGAATGCAAGGATTACAAGTATTACGGTAATTTTCTTGCATAAAATACATTATAGGTTTACCCCCAAACAGCAAAAAAGTAGAAGGAAGGCAAAACCCAAAGGGCCAACCCCATCGCAGTCAACAAGGCGTCGCGGGACCCGTTCCGGAGGACCCCGTCCCCCTCCCTGGTGTCCGTCCACACAGCCCTGCGATCTCACTGCATGTGGGTGGTCACGAGTCCTGTTAACTTTCCCATGACGTGCAAGGTGCACATAAGGGGAGAAATGGCCATCCAGGTAACCGCACCCCCAGCAGGCCAGGTCTCTGCACCAAGGTGACACATCTAGGAAATAAGCAGAGAAGGTCAGAGGAACTGGTGCTGGATGGTAACAAGACAGCCGGAACAGGGTGAGGGATGACTTCCTCAGAAGGAAGCTGGGGGTGGGCGGCCGGGGCCAGCGGCGCGGCTGCAGGACATCACTGGAGCCCAAGCCCTCCCTGGTCAGCCTGCTTCAGGTCACTCCGGGCTGCAAGGGAGGCTGGGAAGTGTGTCTGCGGTGCAGGGAGCGCCCTGGTGGTGGGAGGTGTGTCAGAGAGCGGTACTCAGGGTCTCTGCCTACTGGCCTCTCTGTCCCCCTTCTTGCACACGTGAGCTCACTCGATTGGCGCACAGACACTCCCTACTCAGGGAGAGGCCAGGTGAGCAGGCTGCCCCGGCCTTGCTGCTCCTCGTGTGAGCTGTCCTCCCCGCCAGAGCTCTGAACCCTCCCCGGAGCGCCCGCTACCCACGACACTGCCGCCCTTCTCAGGGCCCAGGGACTGAACCATCTTCCAAGCCAAGGTGTTTACACCCTGCTCTCAGGTCAGTAAGCAAGTTAATACAGAATCAACCGGGCCACCTCAGGCTGCCAGGCAGGGCTGGCAGTGTGCGCAGACCCCCAGAGTGTCTTCCTCTGGCCTGAAGCCTTTCCCACAGTAGGGTCCCACGAGTGTCCTGGGACCCAGGACCCACCTGAGATGTGACGTCTGCATCCAAGATGTTCATCACTGTGGTATTCGCAACAAAATATTGGAAAGGAACTTAGAGAATAACAAGAGAGACAGTCAAGTAAACTGTGGTTCCTCTATAAAAGGGAAGCTGAATCATTTCACACCGTGTTTATCATCTGAGAAAATGCTATACATTTTTAAAAAACGAGAGGGCTGGGGATATAGCTCAGGAGCACAGTGCCTGCCTGGCAAATGCAAGGTCCTGAGTTTGATTCCCAGTACCAATAAATAAATAAAACAAATACATAAACAAACCAATAAATAAGAGGATACAGCAGTACATGTAAAACTGATCTCTTTTTTTATATTCAGGAAGAAAATCCAAAGTGTGGACAGTGCTGTGTCTCTATGGGGTGGTTTTTATATTCTTCTTCATTTTATATATATATATGCTTTGTTTTGTTTTGAGACAGGGTCTTGCTATGTAGTCCAAGCTGACCTTGAGCTCACTGTGTAGCCCAGGCTGGGCTCAAACTCAAGGTGATCCTCCTGCCTCAGCCTCACAGAGTGCTGGGATTAGAGACCTGTGTCAGGACACCTGGCTTTTGAACTCCGGTGTATGCTGAAGTGCATTCACGGTTGGCCATTGACTTTGAAGAAAGTGGTTGAGTTGTTTATTAATATTTTGTTCACTCATGCTGAAATTGGCAAGACAATTGGTTAATTGATTCATAAACTACTTTGATGCTGAAACAAATTGATTAGAAATTAGGAGGCATTCAGGTAAGGAGGGAACCTGAACTTAATCAGCCAGAGGGAACAAAGGTCAAACCAGCCCCCAAGGCAGTCTGGACAAGCACAGCGCCTGCAGCCCGAGTCCGAGTGTCCTTGAGTTGTCCCACTCCCTCCCGCACGGTCCCTCCTCTCCCCGGACCTTGCCGGGACCCAGGCTGCCCCTGCTTCCCCAGTGTGCTGCCTCCTGGCCTCACACCCTCTTCGCTGGTCGCCCTCCCTCCAGGGGCCTGGCCTGGCTGCTCCCTGCCTGAAACCCCTTTCTGCCGCCCCATAGTCTGAATGCACCGTCCAGACCCCCAGCGGTGGCCCCACCCTTGCTTGCTCTGCCACCCGCAGCACCACGGTCCCCAGCGCCTCCCGCTGGGCTCCCATCACTTGTCTATCCTGGCCTCCACGTCTCAGCCTCCTCCACCTGCGAGAGCCACCGTGACGGCCAGTTCTCTCCACCCCTGGGATCATGGGTGGATGGCCCCCTCCACAGTGGCCTCTCCCGCCCGCCTGGCCCTGTTGGGTCTCCCTGCTCCTGCCTTTCACCTCTGAGGTGCTCCTCAGAGATGCCCCTGCCTCGGCTGTGGCCCTCTTCTCCACCTCCCGTGAGCTCCAGACTGGGTCTGTCCAGGTTCCCAGAGCCCAGCTCAGGCGCCATGGAGGGACCGGTGCTGGAGCCACCCTGGCCTTGCCGTCCCGGCAACCAGGGTCTGAGTCCTGGGGAGCAGGGTCCCATCCCAGGCCCGCCTTGCTCCTGTGTAAGCTGCTCTGGGGGCTCCTCTGTGGCTCCCAGCCTTGGCTCGCACAGGTCCCTGCTGTGCCCTGACCCATGTGCGCGGTCACGGCCGATCCCAGCCTGGTCACACAGCAGACAAAAGCCCTGCCCAGCCCAGCCTCGCGGGGAGAGTTGCTGTTGGCTCGCTGTCTCCAGCACGTTCCAAGAAGCCGCTAAGCCACAATTTATCACCACTAAAGTCCGGTAAGGCGCCTAATTGGCCCATAAATGTGGTCCAATAACTGCACCTGACACTCAAAGACACTGCGGGCAATTAGCACTTATTTATTTGCATATGGTATTGACCAATCTCTAGCAACTCGCTTTCAAAATCTGTTTATTTTTAACGCTGGAGGGGGGAAAAACTCATTTACTACACTCTGAGGGGAACTAGCACGAACACAGGCACGCACACACGTGCACACACATGCACACACATGTGCACACACGCACACACGCTAGCAGGGATGGTGGGACTTGGCATTACACTGCTCTCTCCTGAGGGATGCAGTGACTAACGGGGTGGGGGTTCCTGCAGAATGCTCAGTGGATGCCGCGGCCTCACCCAGGTGATCACAGAGCAGCAAGGAGGCCGGAAAAGAGCAGCCCAGGCAGTGCCCAGGTGCGTGAGCTTGGAGGGCCCGGGGAACGTAGCTTTGCCAACCACACTCAGGAGAAAGCTCCCCTCGAGAGTCCCGGCTGTGAGTTCTGAGAGCCAGGGCAGCGGTTTCTCCCGACACTGAACGATTGCGTAGGGAAGACTGCAGTATTGCCTTACTCATACCATTGTCCTTTCATTGGTGAATCTATTTTGAAAGCAGCGTGGGCTGCCTGGACCCTGAATTCTTGTATGAGCTCAGCCTCCATGTGGGTGGAGATGGAATGAGTTTAATGTGTAGAAAGCATTGAGAACAGCACTTGGCCTCTGGCAGGTACCAGGAACTGTCCGCATCACAGGAAATGCCAGCCATCCAAGTGAAGAGTTCTACACGGGATGCAAAAGCCCCATCCCAAGGGCCAGCGGTAAGTGTCACTTTGCGCATACAGTGGGACTAGAGAGTCTAATTTGGGCAGGAAAAAGCAGAGTTGTTTAGAAGCATGGTGACACTCCAAGGAACACACAGCAAATGTTAAATTCAGGCGGCTGTTTAAGAGTAATCTTGATGTCAATTTGCTCCCTTTGTTTATTTGAATTTTCTGATTCACCTGTATATTTATTATTTCTTTTACTGTCTTTAAAAGAAGGAATGAAAATGAAATAAGTAATTACCAGTGCTGGGGATAGGCCCCCTTAGTATTTGAATATGATCCTTCCAGCCTTTTTAAAAAAGTGGGTTTTGTTTTTGTTTTTGTTTTTGTTTTTGAGATGGGGTTCTAGCTATGTAATTCAGGCTGACCTTGAACTCACTATATAGTTGGACTGGCCTCGAACTCATAGCAATCCTCCTGCCTCAGCCTCCTGAGTGCTGGGATTCCACCACACCCAACTCTTACACCTTTATAACATGGTGGTGTGTGTCTGCACTTCCAACTACACAGGATAGAGCATCTTTTGAGCCTACAAGTTCCAGCCAGGCCAACCTGGGTAACAGAAGGAGGCAGATTCTCAAAATTCAATGAATTAAATACAAACCCATGAGTCAAACTAATCTTGAAGCTTACATTTGCTTTCAGATGTTTGTTTTGAAAGTTTGTAAAACTACTGAAAAGTTGAAAAATAGGCTCGTCAGTGAAAACTCAAAAATGAAGGGCTTGGTGGTGCACACCTGTAATCACAGCACTCAAGAGGCTGAGACAAGAGGATCATTGCAAGTTTGAGACCAGCCTGGGCTACAAAATGAGCTCAAGCCCAGCCTGAACTGCATATGAGACCCTGTCACAAAAAAAAAAAAAAAAGAAGAAATCCCAAAGATGGCCCATCTCTGCTTACGGATTGTCAACATCCCTTGGATGGAGAATAGATAGACAGCCAGCATGTCCCATCCCATTTGAATGTAAATTGCCAACATCATGATTTCACACCCTTAAATAAATAACCAAACACAAGGACTTTCTCGGAACTGCATGACTATTATGACTCCCAAGGTGGTTCCCATTGATATGATATAATATGCAGCCATATTCAAATGGCTTCAATTGTCCCAATAATGTCTTTTATAGCTGATT